TACTTACTAACCTGTAAAAGAGACAAACCACTCTGTCACTCATAGCTGCTCAGTCTTACCTTTAAAGAGGCACTCTCTAAGCACTATAACCACTACAGATCATTGTAGTATTTATGATGTTATCTTTCTTTGGCTGATGTCCTCTTTTATTCAATAAACCCATTTTGGAGCAGTTTAAAAAAAATGGTACTCTCCTTGAGACCATTGCATCAGTTATAGTGCTTGTGACCTGTGGTCAGTGGCTTGAGAAAGTGCTGTGCATGGCCTTATTCACAAAACTTGTGCTGGGACTGTCAATAGGCTTGCTAGACTCCACTGAAAAGAATAAGTGGATTTTGCACTATAGTGCATTTTCTGTATAATGAAATATAAAAATGAAGTCCCTTCAATGTCAAAACAAAGCCCGATTAAAAAGACACTCCGAGCTGGAAGAAAGTTCACAAACCACAAGCATAATATAATGTGCCCTGTACAGATATAGTTGTAACAACATAATGGATCCTAAAATCAGAGGAGAATTGAATGATGAACCCTTTAAAGATCAGCCATGTGCTAAATTAGAAATACCGATTAAGTCATTTCAAAGAGTTAGTGAGATGTACAAGAAAAAAACCTCAGGAGATTATAAAATATTATAGAATGTGTTACCCTAAGTACATTTTCAGTGGTTATTTCATATTAGTCCCTTGCAAATAATTAAGCAATACATAGCATATTTACTTTTTTTTAGAAACTAATGCTGCCCTTGAATTTAGATAGTTTTCTTTATGCATGTATATTACTGCTTTTACATTTGCCTTTAAAAGTCTATGAGCCTGAAAAACACAATTAACCTCAGAGAGAATGAAATAAAGCATTCGGTTATGGCACACACTTTAGTTAGATACAAAGCTGTTACTTTAGGTGTAAAACAAATATTAATGGAACATATAGCCATCATAGCAAAATATATTTAGCTGATGTTCTGGGACTTGGCAAACATTCTTCACTATAGGAAGGGCAAGGTGCATTCAATATCATCTCACTCTGGGTTATTTACTGATGTGTGAATTGCAAGACATTTAAAGTGAATTTCAAATTATGAAACAGAATAGCATAATTGGAAAATCCTCCTAATCATCTACATTATCATTAATGCTATTTTGGGTTAAAATATGAATAACTCACAGGGAAAGGTCAGTGGGCAATTGATCATCCACTCACCTATTCCACTCTGACAAGAATAAAACTTTCTCACACATCCAGACTTTAGTGTCACTATATGAAAATAAAGCAAAAGAGAGGTGTGTGCCAGTACCCCCAAATAAAGAGGAAAAAATAATTGATTGATTAGAAACTAATGAGAATGGGTATACAAATGTCACAAAAGCAGCAGGGAACAAACTTCACTATAGCAGTAAATGTGATCCAAGTTCTCAGTGCTGGTGTTCTATCAAATTTATCTACCCTGTATTCCCTACCCTTGTCCCTTCTTGTGACACTGCCCAACCGGAAGTGAGTTTAAATGAGCTGGAGATTGGTTTACCCGTGTGGGGGGCCTGCACCCCACCAGGAGAGTGGTCTGGGGTCCTAACAAGGCTACATACCAGTAGGTATGCAGTAGGGTGAATTTATGGCTGCAATACACAAATGCTGGCTACGGGGCTGACCGGGGGCATTTGCATATGACATAGAAACTACACGGGCTAGGGTTTTCTAACGCTGATACTGCTCATGCACAAGGAATCAGCTGTAGAGGGCACATGCAATGGATGCATTGTTGCACCATCAGAATACTCTACCCTATTCTGCGCATGCGTCCTCCACGGCTGATTCCTTGCTTATGTACAGTAGCAGCATTACAAAACCCTACCCTTAGACCGTGCAGTTCCTACATCATATGCACACACCTCCACCCCGCTCCTGCCCCACCCCAAGTCAGTGCTTGTGTATTGCAGCCATAAATTCACCCTACTGCATCCTGCAATTTTTAGGTGTAGTTAAATTTGATAGGACACCGGCAGCAATGTTCCTCCAATTCTAAAAACCCTCACAAAATAGCAATACCGCGCTCAAAAGAACTTAATAGAATCAAACAGAAGAGATATCTGGAGAGATATCCAGATAACGGGTATCCAGATAATATATACAGTAAAAACCAAAGAAAAAAGTTACCTGCGCTCTTTCCCAAATCCCTATGTATATTTAAACAAATGGAGATTTTTAGTTACCTCCAATGGCCATGAGAGGGTATCCCCACTTTCCACGTCAAGGCAGACCTCTTAGGTGGGTCCTAACTCTAACCATTCACCTTGCTTCCTTGAGCTTCTGGCAAAGATATCTCTTATGAGACAGAAAGGGGTATTTTTTTATATACATCCCTACATGCTTATTCACCCTTAATAGGGAACACATGGGATGGGCAGCAGCATTGTAACATATCTGTGCGATATCCAGATGTGACAGATCCATCTGTTTAGACTGGGATTGCTGGTTCATCTGTTTTGCCTTTTCGTGGAATTACCCGTTCGTATGCCCCTGTTCATTGAATTGACTTTTCCGCCGAACAAAACTACCGAACGGACGGCCACCCAGAAGAGAAGTGTGCTGCTGGTTAACCTCTTGATCCCAATTAGAACGTTGTGGTTAACCGCAGACACTTCTCAATTAAAACCGAATGCAGGGTGGTCGTCGTTCGTATGTCGACCACGAGGCGGCGGCCATTTTAAACAAGTGAAAGACCAGCGGTGTTCGGCCCAGATTCTATGGAACTGAAAACTGACACTTTTTCCGCCGAACACCGCTGAAGCCACCGACCTCCCTTCTCAATCGACAAAAGTATACGAACACCGGCTGTTCGGGAGTTTGAAACGCATGAATGGACTGTAATAGACTTTGACTCCATGGCGATTGAACAATGCGTATGGGATCTGAGCGCTATTCGCCAATAATATGCACTCAGATCCAGGCTATCTGGGGATATGTGATACGAATGAGAAATGTTCGGCAATTATAAAGTTATGTATTTTTTGTGTTTTTTTGTGTTATATTTAAAATGGCAATTTGCCTCTGTCCTGGAGATGATTAAATTACTTCTCAATTATCTCCAGGGCGGAGGGGAGGAAACCATGATGCATGCTGGGAATATTATGTGCCTGTGTGTCCTAACCTGCCATATGTCTGTCTGCTATTACAGTCTCCCATTTGGTCCCCTAGGGGAGTGTCCACCAAGTGGGAGACCTGCATAAATATGGGCGGGTAGCCCACAGTAAACCCAGTTCATGTTTTACCCTCAATGCGGAGCTTGGTCTCGTTATTGGGGGGATTTATTACCAACGAATAGAGACTGCCAGATGGGATTATTAGCAGCTTGGGAGATATATGTGTTCGGCTACTAGCGGCGATCGTGAGTTTGGAGCTCGGGAAGTGAAGTACCCGTACGGGTCCCGTTCGGGAGATTACTCCGTTCCCCTGCTTGTGGTTCGTATGATTGCAGTTGATACGAATGAAACCTGCGTTATTGCGAGAGGGGAGGATTTACTAAACGGCGGTTTGTACATTTGATGCCGAGGGTACCGTTACACCAGATAATATATTTAGTACAATATTATTAACTTTTGTGTTTATTATCCCCTCTTTTATGTCTTATACTCCCCTTTAGTGTATCTTATCTGCATGTGGCCCTTAGTTTGTCTTACACCCCCTTTTGTGTTTCTTACAAACCCCCTTGATACCATCCAGTCCTTTTGTGTGTGTTTCTTACTTCCCCCAAGCTTATTTGCGTGTCTCTTAGATAGTTACATAGTTACATAGCTGAAAAGAGACTTGCGTCCATCAAGTTCAGCTTTCCTCACATTTGTATTTTGCTGTTGATCCAAATGAAGGCAAAAAAAATTATCAAAAAACAGTTTGAAGCACTCCCACTTTTGCAACAAACTAGGAAAAAAAATTCCTTCTTGACCCTAGAATGGCAGTCAGATTTATCCTTGGATCAATCAGCTTTTACTTTCCTCAAGCCCTTTTGTGTGTCTCTTTCTCACCCAACCCCTTTGTGTATCTCTTATTCCCCATCAGCTTCTTTGATTGTCTTTTACTCATCCCGGCTCCTTTGTACATCTTTCTCCCCCCTTCCCTGGTGTGTGTGTCATCTTTCCCTTTCCAAGACCAATTTTGTGTCTCTTTCTCTCCTAGTCCCTTTGTGTGTCTCTTACTTTTCATAGTCCCTCTGGGTCACTTTCTCTCCCTACCTATTTTATTTTGTGGTATTTTACCATCCTTTTCCCTTTTGGCATGTCTGCTTAACTTCCATTTGTAGCGTGACCACATAGATCGTGAGATTAACTTTGGCTCAACCTCTACTCACTACCTTGTCACAAAATTAGCATTTTGCAATTCGGCCTTCTTTGAGTCACTCAAAGTGATCCTATACTTTGCTTTGTCGCTACAATACATAAGTCCAAACCCTTTGCCTTCCGTCTGCTTAAGATGCATGTGGATTTGCATCAGTTGCAATGGAAGCTGCCACAACAGTAGACCCTACATTAGCACCTGGTTGATCACCATACCTCTCAATATTTTAAATGGACAAAGAAGGACACTTAAATTTTAGGGGTTTGAGTGGAGATGTGGGCTGTTCTGAGACTTTTTAAGTAACTTTTATTCCAACAAATTTATTGGAGTTTAAACACAAGTCACTGTTAGTATTATTGCTGTGGAGCTGTGTTATATACACAGACATGTTAACAATGTAGACCTTTTAGAAAAGAGGCTCATTAGGATAGAAAAGAAGGACAGAGGGATTTGGGTCCAAAATAGGCACTATCCCGGGGGGGCGGGGCCAGGCCGCCGAGCCGAGCGGCTGCAACACACGCCGGCTCCGGCAGAGAAAAGCATAAAACAGCCTGAAACACTCAGAAAACCCACGGGGCCTGCCGAAAACCGAAACCGGGGAGGTGATCGGGCGGAGAGGAACCGGGGAGTGCAAAGCTAAAGCACACATTGAACACCCGGCTCGCAAAACGATGCCTGAGGCCTCAACCACGCTACATGAGACGGACCCACGGCGCGCAAGTAAGGCGCGGGCTGCCGAGCCCAGCCCCGCTCCCCCCCCACCTGGCCGGGGGGGTGATCCCGGCCCAAAGTCTGAACTTCGGAGGCTGGAGGAGGAGGCACACGAGGAGCATGACGCTCCGGTATACGGAGCTACAATGGCCGACGGATACACCATGCTAACGCTGCACCACGGGGTGACTCACGCACACGCAGCAGAGACCCTGCACTGGGATACCGAGACCTCCGGGATGGCGGACCCACGACTGGACCCCCATGGGCGGCAGACGTGCCGATGGAGAACCAGCCCTGAACCCCGGATTGGGTGGTGGTCCGGGGGAAAACAGCCCCCAACACTGTGAGCCCGATGGAGCTGTGAAGCGCGGGCCTACCGGCGGACCGGTGTCCGGGGGGCACGCGCCGGCAACATGTAAGTGGCCGGAGGAGGATGTGGCTAGTCAGGGCAGGGGCCCTGGGGAGGCACTGCCGAAGCTGGGGAGGTGCAGGGGGCAGGAGCCCAGTGGACTCTAAGGTGGGGAGGCCACCGCACAGCTCCGGTTTCCGAGTGCCCACAGCGGGGGTGGTGCCCCCTAAAGACATGGAAGCATACCCTGGGGAGGAAAAGGGATGGGACTGTCACACCTGGGGGATCCGGAGAGACTCAGGGGGGTACAACTGACCCAACAGGCGCAGTACCATTTGGAGGTAACCATGGGGAGGTCATACCAGAGAGAACAAAAGCCACGAAGAAGGCCGTCAATTTCGCTTCAGAAGGCTTCATCGTGCCAGGCGCCACTACGCCCCCTCCAGCGAAGTGACTCATATGCTAAAAGCGTACATTCGTATTGTTAGGGCTAACCACGCCAATGTCTTCATGTGCATAAGCAGCGGTACATAGAATACACACCAGGCAACAATTACCTAAGATTGTGAATGCATTATGTACTGAATACCTACGGGGTTAAACTCAGGTACCACAGATGCAGATCAGTATATAACATGTTGCTGAAATAATAATCATTTCTACTATCAATACACTTGATTTATAGCAGGCCTATTTCGCAATTAACTAGATGCTGCTATAATGTTAAAGATATGATGTATCTTTGCCTCACGGTGCCTGACTACTATGCTATTTCTGCCATATATGGTTACCGTACCATGCGTATAGGCGGTTATTTGAGCCTAACGAAGCCCTTCATACTGACCACGCACAGAGCTTAGTATTAACATCTGTTTGCTCCTATATTCTTTCACCAGTAGACTCTAAACAATGTTTTTTGCATATATCCATTTTTAATTCTGTTTAAAACTGAATGTAAGGTTAATGTCACAGTGCCTCAAAGGGCTAAAATACATTGTCGTAGATCGTTGCCTACTCAATAGATACAGACAGGATCCATACCACGTAAAACCCTTTGGTTTTTTACATAGGTACCCGACCGCATGGACGTAGTGCCTAAGAAAGCTGATCCGAGGACCCTTAATTACGCCCAGATCACCTTTCTCAATAATATGGGAACCCATGTGCACGTAATATAATTTGTTTGTTTATGCATCCCTCTACCAGTATCGCATCAATAGCTACGGCATACATCAACACTTGTATTATAGGATGGTCATTTCTTTTAACACTGCATTAGATTGCCTATATACTTCATTACATGTATGGCATGATCAGCTACAGTTTATTTCAGATTGACGCATTATAGGATGTTGTTACCTTTTATGCTGTAATGCTTAGAAATGTATTCCAGCAAAGTTCAAGTACGCCTATATGTTCTGATCATTACGCCTCTGCGCAGGCGATAATCTGCATTTATTCTTGTGTGCTAACATTTAAGCCTCTACGTATGCGACCGTTCACCATAATGAATGCTATAACTTACTGCTTAAGCCCCTGCGTGGGCAACCTCTGGCTTTATTACGAACCAGTTCGCAATATGCACTTATATTGTGAAAAGAATAAAAAATATTCAAAACAAAATAGGCACTATCCCTCCTAAATAGGGACACTTAAGAAGTATGGATTACTGCTAATGAAAATGTTGATGGTGCCGGTAGGAAATACAAATCTGTATTTCTAACACTATGGGGCCCTCTGGTCCAAACTCTCCTGTGCCCCTCCACAAATCCCCCCCACCCACACAACCCACATGGAATATAGAAGTTAAGTTAAAAACACATTATTCACTTACCTTATTCCAGCACCAATGTCCCTCAGCACATCGATCTGCCTCTTCCAACAGGGGCGGGAGGGGCCTAATGCATATTTGTGGAGATCACCTTAGGCCCTTCCCATAGAAAAGCATTGACTCAATGCTTTTCTGTGAGGATTTCACCGATGCTGGATGTCCTTATGCAGAGCGACCTAGACTCCGGCTAACTCCCGGAAGCTCCTCTTATGGCTGTCTACCAGACAGCCACTAGAGGCTGTATTAGTCATGCAATGTAATCATTGAAGTTTCTCAAAAACTGCAATGCTTTACATTGCATGACTAAGTGGGACAGGATCATTGCACCCAGACCCCTTCAATGAGCTGAAGTGGTCTGGGTACCTAAAGTGTCCCTTGAAATAGGCTAGTGGGGCAAGAGAAGTATCAGGAGCCTGAGCCAGTGTCCCATATAGTCCTGTCAGATTGATTTGTTTAGCTATGGTTTAAGAATATTTTGATTTGGACAAACTGACCAGAACAAATTTAATGGGACACTATAGTCACCAGAGCAACTACAGCTTGTTATAGTTGTTCTGTTGTGTCTATAGACTGTCCCTGCAGACATTTTGCTTCAAACACTGCCTTTTCAGATAAAAGGCACTGTTTATATTAAAGCCTTGGAATACCTCTAGTGGCCACTCCTCAGAAGGCCACTAAAGGTACTTCCTGGGGCAGTGCTGCGCAGTACAGGCATTTAGCGTCTCCACGCTCAGCATGGAGATGCTGAACTTTCCCCATAGAGATGCAATTATTCAAGGAGATAAGGAGATGTTGATTGACCAGGGCAGCGAGCAGACGCCGCCTCCTTGGCTGAGATTCGCGCAGCACTAGAAATAAGGCGTGTATTCTAGTTATTTAAGGAGGGCATAGGGGGGCAAGCATGGTTTTTAACACTATAAGGTCAGGAATATACGTTTGTATATTCTTGCAGCAGACCTGCAAGAACAGTTATAGAGAGCTCTGTTACACACTCAGAAAACTGTACTGTCCAAGCTCCTCCAGTATCTGTGTCTGAGACTGGGCAGGAAGTGGAAGGGATCTGTAATGGTATTTATTAATTAATGACTTTACATCATAAAGAAAGCATATTTAGTGTAATGCTTTGGGGGCACCACTAGGGGGAGTGTGTAGGAAGACATGTGCTTCTGGCAGTGACATCACAGGCCAGCCTATTTACACTGAATAAAAACCAGATGGAGGAGAAAACTCAGTCCCTTTGCCTGTAACTGACTGAACCTAAGATGTAGTACCAGCTCTGACTTAACCCCAGCCAAAGGGCTGGGGCCTTGTAAGTAAAATGTTGTGTAACATGTAGCAACCTTTTGTAAGTAATATGTTGTAATTTTGTATTATCATTATTGTAGTAAAATGACATTCTGCTAGCATCTGTTTATTTATTATAGTTATATTAAATATACATTTAATATTACAACGTTTTGTGTATTTTCTATCCACATATTCGACCATAATACCATGAATTATAAAAATATTAATGTTGTTCCGTATTGCTTAATTATTATGTATTAAGAGATTAATATTCATATTTAGGTCACGACCACAACAGGATCACTTATCATATGCCCACTAGTAAGCTCTCAAAGCGGAAGCCCATTGCAAGAGAAGCAGGGGAAACTTTCAGTAATGGTCAGTGTTTGTGACTAAGTGGCTACTAAAAAAGACCGGACATACCCCATTTGCAATACCTTGGGTTGCCTACTTTTGTAAATAGTATGCCATCATGGGGGTAATTCTCATTTCTAGGCAACATAACCAATCTGGCAAATTTCAATGTGAAAAAAATGAAATGCAAACATTATATTTGACTCTGTAACTTGTGAAAACACCATAAAACATGTACATGGGGGGTACTGTTATACGTGGGAGACTTCACTGAACAAAAGTATTAGTATTTCAAAACAGTAAAATGTATCACAACAATGATATCATCAGTGAAAGTGCCGTTTGTGTGTGAAAAATGCAAACAAATGCACTTTTACTGACGATATCATTGTTGTGATACATTTTATTGTTTTGAAACACTAATATTTGTGTTCAGCGAAGTCTCCCGAGTATAACAGTATTCCCATATACAGGTTTTATGGTGTCTCAGAAAGTTACAGGGTTACATATAGGGTGTGCAACCAAATTCTGAGAACTTTCTGCCTGGGTTGTCAGGCAGCTTCATCAAATCCTAGTTTAATAAAATTACTTAATTATGTAAAAATATTACTTAAATATAAGAAGAATTTAAATAAAGCTCCGCTTTATAGTGATAGATCATGTCCCCCCTTCTCTCCGTGAGGGTGACAGGTCTAAGCTTCATTTACAGCGGGTGGTGTACTGGATTCATCACTTGGACAAGTTGCCCCCAGGGGTTTAAATAAAAATATTGTTTATTCTATGTTTCTTTAAAATAGTAATATTGCTTCTGCTATTCCTTAGGATTATTTCTTATTTGCTCCTCTTGTGTTTGTTCCTTTTTATTTTTCTATTTCTACTCTTATTTTTATGTCTTATAATGGTTTATTCTGATATTTGGGACGTATGATTCCTGACATGGACTTTATAGTCCTATATTGTAATTATGTGTGAAGAGTGTACTCTGGATCTTTTAGTTTAACCCCTTCGCAACCGTGGACGTACCAGGTACATCTGACACAAAACGGTTGTTAACAGCCTGGGACATACCTGGTACATCCGCGGAAAATGTGAGTGCTGGAAGCGATCGTAATCGCTTCCATCCACTCTAAGGGTATTGCAGCAATGCCTCAATGTCGAGGCATCCTGCAATACCTCTCCTGACTGTCGGGCCGCCGCTGCCAGAAGCGATCACTTCCGGGTTGCCCCATGTGGTGCCCCAGCAGTGTAGCAGAGCATTGGAAGCCATCGGGCAGGCTTCTGATGCTCTGCCTCGAGGCACTCAGTGAAGATCAGATTATAAAAAATAAATTAAAAAAATAAAAATAAAATCTATTAACCTTCCCCCCCCCAAGCCATGTGGCATCCAATAAGGCCTTTAGAAAGGCAGTGCATCTTGGGGATTCTGAGGGTGTCCCTAGCCTGCCTCATCATAGAGGCAGGCTAGGGTCATCTAATCAGAGCTTGCCCCTATAACAATTTTATAATTGCTGATCCCCATTTGTCTGATCAGGTCAATATTAGTTAATATTGACTCTGATCAGTGTGGCAGTTACCAGGTTGCCATTTGCATAATTGCTGCTCCGCACAAACCCTCCTATGGATTTGATTGCTGCTCTGCACAACTTTTCCTGTCAGAACCGTAAATGTCATTAATCACTTTTTTATATGCGGATGAATACGTGACATGCTGATGGACATCATAAAGAAGCCCTCCATCCTACTGGAGCAGTAGCCCCATCTGCTCTACTTCCATTTACTCCCAATGTATGTCGAGGAAGAGGTATGAAATGATTCTGCATTTCATGCACTTCAGCGACAACAGGAGCATCCCCAGTTTCACAGGCTGTATAAAATCCACACCCTGATTACCAACTTTACTGCCAGGTTTGCAGAGGCTTATACACTTGGAAGGAATATATGTGTGGATGAATCCCTGATAAAGTATAAGGGAAGGCTGGGATTCAAGCAGTATATTCCTTCCAAGCACTTCAGGTATGGTGTAAAGGTGTATAAGCTCTCTGAGAACAAGTATACTCTGTGAGAACTGAGTATACTCAGGCCTTCTGGGTGTACGAGGGAAAGGATAGTCACTTTGACCCTCCAGGTTGCCCAGAACATATGGGAACCAGTGGCAAGATTGTCTGGGACCTGATATTTCCCCTGATGAACAAAGGGTCCCTTTGTTCAAGCTACTGTATTGTTTTGATACAGTAGCTTGCGGTACAATCAGAAAAAAACGTGCAGGTTTCCCAGAACAACTTGCACGTACCCGGCTATGAAGGAAGAAACCTCAGCTCTGCGCAAAGAGGAGCTTTTAGCAGCCAAGTACAGAGACAGGAAGGATGTGTACCTTCTTACTACCATCCACACAGAGAGCACTGTGGAGGTCTCTGTACGTGGCAGAGCTGAGAGCATAAGGAAGCCAGTGTACATCAAGTCCTATAACCGGCGTATGGGTGGGGTTGATCTGGCAGATCAGCTGCTGCAGCAGCCCTACCTAATTATACGGAAGACAAGCGCCTGGTACAAAAAAGTTGTGTCAGGTCCCTTGCCCCCACGCCGCTCACGGTGATCTTGCTTACCTCATCACAGCAAGCGGCGTCATCTGGTCCCTTTCTCCAGACTGGCAGTGTGTCTGACGCTGCACGCTCCAGAGCAGCTTCCTTATATGTGTGCTGCACCCGGTCACGTAACCCGGTGTTCCATCAAATTTCCCTACCCTCGTCACTTTCTGTGACGCGGTCGCACCGGACATGACGTTCGCCAATGGAGGAGGAGGTGTGCTGCGCCGCGCAGCCGCAGAAGGACAGGGTAGGGAAATTTCACAGCTAGAGCTGGGGAGAAGAGGCCACCTAATGCGCATGCGCAGTGTCGGCCGGTGTATAGCTGACAGGTTAGGGAACCTCACCACGGGTTAGAGGGGGTGTAAGGTATGGAAAAATTACGGGCCAGTGCACACGCGCAGCTAACTACTCCCGTCGTCGGGATACACTGCGCGTGCGCACAAGCGGGCAGGGAGATCTCTTATACCGAACATCCATCCGATCTCCCTTCCCCACACTGCACACGCGCAGACTCAGCTATCACAGCCTGACATACGGACACCGCGCGTGCGCAGTGTGGGGGTAGGGAGATCTGATGGACACTTTCACTGTTAAATCTCCCTACCCCTCAGTGCGCACGCACGGTGTCTGATTATCTGGAGCATCTTGACTGTCATCTATCAGGTCAGTCTCTCCCTGCTCCCAACAATCTCAGCCATGTGGGGTCTGCAGAGTATATGGGTTGTATCTGTGCAGTATATTGGGGGGGTCTGCGCAGTATATGGGGGGCTGTCTGCGCAGTATATTGGGGGTCTGCGCTGTATATTGGGGGGCTGTGCTGTATATTGAGGGGCTGTCTCGAGTATATTGGGGGTCTGCGCTGTATATTGGGGCTGTCTGAGTATATTGGCTGTCTGCAGTATATTAGGGTGTCTGCTGTATATTGGGGGTCTGTGCTCTATATTGGGGGCTGTCTGGTATATTTGGGGGTCTGCGTGTATATTTTGGGTCTGTGTTGTATATTGGGGGTCTGTGCTATATATTGGGGGTCTACACAGTATATTGGGGGTCTGTGCTGTATATTGAGGGGTCTGATTATAGTGGGGGGCTCTCTGTACAGTATATGGGGGTGTCTGCGCAGTATATTGGGGGGGTCTGTGCTGTATATTGGGCTGGTCTGTGCATTAGATGGGTGGCTGTGCGTTAGATGTGGGAAGGCTGTGCGTTAGATGTTGGGGGGCAGTGTATTAGATGGGGGCTGTGCGTTAGAAGAGGGCAGTGTATTACATGGGGGGCTGTGCGTTAGATGTGGGGACGCAGTGTATTAGATGGAGGGGCTGTGCGTTACATGTGGGGGGCAGTGTATTATATTTGGGGGCTGTGCGTTAGATGTGGGGACGCAGTGTATTAGATGGAGGGGCTGTGCATTACATGTGGGGGGGCAGAGTATTATATTTGGGGGCTGTGCATTAGATGGGGAGCTGTGCAGTATGTGTGGCCTGTGTGTTAGATGTGTACAACCCTAGTTTCACAAAAAAATATTTATTTCCTAGATATCATATGCCATGGCATGCTTTTTGCTATGAAACCTCAGCCATCTAGTCACTCGCCAGAGAAGGATGAGAAACTGCACCCCAGCCAGAGGGACTGCCCCACATCTGCAACTAAATCCGTGAGTCACTGAATTCTGTAATATCTGTCTCTTTGTGCATTGTGTATGTATAGTACTCCCAATTCTTATATTTAATCCTTTGTGTCTCCCACAACCTTTGTGTCTGTCTGGTGTATGTATGTGGCACGCAAGTCTGCATGCACTGTGTCTGTTATGCCAGTTACTCTAACCAGTTTTTTATTTGTTTTTGTGTGTGTCATAACTCTGACAAGAATGTTCTCCTATGGGACACGAAGTACATGAAGAGGAATAAAGAAGCCCATGTTTGAGGCCCGCCTCCAGGGTAGAGTATTGAATATATAATTAATGAAGTGGCATCTGACACGTGACAAGCTGCTCCTGTTTTCACAGCAACTTCAACATTGTGTACTATGATCAGAGGTAGGTAACCTTAGGCAGTCCAGATGCTGTGAATTACATATCCAATAATGCTGGCAAAGCATTATTGGAGGTGTAGTCCAAAACATCTGGAATACCAAATGCGTATGAATGAAAAGTATGGTGTGTGTGAATGGTCAGTAACAAGGGTTGAAGCCTTGACGTGGCGTTACTGCTCACATGTGTATCCATGTGCCAATTCAACCAATGTGAGTCACCATAATCCTTATGAGGTAACTATAAATACTGTGACTGTGGAGAATTAAACGCCCGTATCACCCAAACACTGCTCACACTGTGCCCGTATCTCCTAAACACTGCTTATACTGTGACCGTATCACCTAAACACTGATTATACTGTGACCGTATCACAAATATTGCCTTATACTGTGACCGTACCATCTAAACACTGCTTATACTGTGACCGTATCACAAACATTGCCTTATACTGTGACCGTACCATCTAAACACTGCTTATACTGTGACCGTATCTCCTAAACACTGCTTATACTGTAATTGTATCACATAAACACTGCTTATATTGTGACCGTATCGCCTATACACTGCTTACACTGTGACCGTATCACCTAAACACTGCTTATATTGTGACTGTATCACATAAACATTGCCTTATACTGTGACCGTATCATATAAAAATTGCCTTATACTGTGACCGTATCGCCTATACACTGCTTACACTGTGACCGTGCCACCTACACACTGCTTACACTGTGACCGTGCCACCTACACACTGCTTACACTGTGACCGTGCCACCTACACACTGCTTACACTGTGAATGTTGTTATTTTTTTTCAAGTTAGTTTTAGTGTTTGCAGTTTCATTAAGTTATTAACCACTATCCTCAATCTTCTGTTCTGAGTTTTCTTAGATTTGTGGGAAAAACAAGGCGATCCTCTCAATTTTACACTCCTTTATTGGTTCCAGTGCCAGAGAAAAAACTCACCACCATTAACCTCGACCTGCTGAAACAGAAGAGATTACCTTCTTCTACAGAAAACTTCCATATGACTGCTTCGGAACACATGCTGCAGACATGACGTAACCTTCATTTTCCAGTGATTAAGAATCCTGGACGGCCCAGATAGAGAGAGACTATTATATTATAAAGATACTGCCTTCCTAATGCCATACAGCCTTTCTGTACAGGTGATTGAACTTTCTCCATGTTGGATACGACACTCTGCTTTTTTAAGCCAGTTTCCGCATTGACTTTTATATTTTTTTCACTATACATATAAATTGTAAACTGCATATTAACTTTGAAGAAATAAAGTATATTGCTGACACCTTGACATGCTATTTGTGTTACTTCGCTATAAATAATAACAGCACTTGATGTGTCCCATTGTATGACATCACTGCAATTCTACAGCAGGGTGATGAGATGGTGGATTTCAGAGGAGAAAACACAAAAAAACAAAGACCTCAGGTTCTGTTGTTGAACACAGATTGGAGTGCCTTTTTGGTGTTATAGATGTTTTGGGAACCTATATAAATTTAGAAATGGGGTAAAGACTCTTTGTTTTAAAGGAAACCTATGGTGCTAGGCATATCAAACTGTATTTCTAACACGCTCTTCACCCTTTTTGTCAGTTACCTGATTGTTAGGTCAGGCTCCGCCAACATCAGGTCCCTCCTGCGCACACATTTGGACTTCCACACCGGGAAGCATTAACTCAAGGCTTTTCTATAGCGTTTTTAAAGACGCTGGTTGTCCTGATGCAAAGTGCGAGGATGTCCAGTGTCATTTCACGTAGTTGGTCTCCGCTAAGGACCTGAAGCGCCTCTAGTGCCTGTCTGGTAGACAGCCAATAGAGGATGAGATAACCTTGCAAGGTAATTATTGCAGTTCCTCAGAAACTGCAATATTTCACATTGCAGGGTTAAGGGGACATAGGCACTGCACCCAAACCACTTCAATAAAGTATAATAAAGTGGTCTTGGTGCCTATAGTGTCCCTTTAAAGAGCAACTTCTTACTCTGTTTATTGCTATCTTTTGAAAGTCATCATACGGGCAGTCGGAACCTTGGACAAAAAGCCCCCCACATACCTTCCCCAATAAAACACTGACACTAGGGTATATGGGTCAAATTGTCCAACACATTCTTCCAACATCATTTCAACATGAACATAACTTAAAGTGCCAAACATAATTAACCATGGCAGGGGTATACCGGATACCCCTACCCACACCAAACATACTTTAACCATGGCAGGGGTATACCCGGATACCCCTACCCCACCAGGTTCTGAGCCACCGACAGGACTCGAAACCTACCAACTTACCAATCACCACAATTTTTCCATTTCCATCAATCTTCCTAATGGGGAGCCTATTTCTTCTCCTTCAGTTACCTATCCCGCCACAAGCTCAGACCTTGAACCCTTAAGCCGTCTGAGCTCCCCACTCTGAGGAAACAGCGCCTTCTGCAGCCATTCCTGCCAATCCAGAGCCCGAAAGACCCACCCATGTCGGAGAGGTGAACTCCGTCCTCGTGAAAACAACGGGGCAACCCCCGTCCCGATCACAATGCCTCGCCACCATTCCGAACAAAATAGCTACCTGCCATTTGGGAAACTGTCCCCGACCACCACCAACGTCCCGGGAAGCAGGCCTCCCAATCCTGTAACCCCTTACCACATCTGTCTTGCCAGCTGACGCTGCGGTACCGGACCCAGATCTCACCCCCGCACGTGGGACAAGAAAATCAGGCCTACTCCACGCCCGAGCCTCCGAAACACAGCGTGACACACATCTGCCATTGGCACCCCGTAACCAATCACTGAGTCACTACCCGGTCCACCGGAAAGCCCAGCTGCTGACCCTCACCTCTAGCTGCAGCCCTCCTCCTGGCCCAGAGAACGAAGAATTACCAACTATCCACGCAAAGTTTGCCTGATGAGACAAACCAACATTAACCCTGGCCCTTCGGACCCCCAGTGACCCACCGACTCACTCCAACCGTTCCCAAACATACATACGAGCAGGAGCTCAATGGCTGCCATCACCCTATCCCCTAGACCAAGGCCTCCCCCAGGCTGTACCATGTCTTTTCCGAAACCACCCCAAAGCGGAAGAATAGCGACCTAAACTAACCCGTTCGAAATCCCAGGCTTGCCAAGCCTAACGCAAAACCGTAGTAACCTAAAGCGAGACTGGGAAGAACCGTCCAGCAAGCACCAAGAAAAAAACCCCGCCAACTGACGGACCCCCAGCCAGAAACTGCGGCGCCGTGGCAGCCGCACCCAGCGCTGAACCTGGGAGTTCACCCAGCATCGCGTCCATGCCCCAACCGCTGATATTGGTTGCGGACCAGACCAAACGGCGAACGGTGTGCGCACGTCAGATGCCCTAACACCCCCCATTATCCCCCGACCGGAGTTCACACATTCCCCTAATCCGAAAAGTGCCAAAATTGCCCATAGAAATGCCGCACAAAACAGCGGCCCCTGGTCAACTTTCCAAGCCAACATCAGGTAGCCCACAAATGAGGTCCCCAACCCCCCATGGACCCCGGCCTCCTAGCGTCAAGAACCCAGCGTCCTATCTGACCTCTGGAGCACCGGTACATCAAGAAGGTCCACCGCACTTCGTCCCAACTGTGTGAACCGAAACCAAAGGAGAAGTGCCCCCAGAAAACCTACCCACCACCGCCGTAAAAGCCCCCGGCTAACTGCCTGAGCGTAAACCATCGTACGGCATCGCAAGCCACCAACCACCGACAGCTCCAAGCCCATGAGCTTTCCCGTGCTACCCAGTCCTGTGCGTGTGCAGCCCCCGGTGCCCTGGTGCCACGAAGCTCCCACGCATTCTCTTAGCAGAACGCTTCCCGCAGCTCGATCGCAACCGAACACGCACGTCCTAAAAGTGTGACATCCAAGTGCCACAGGCCAAAACCTTGACCATTACCACAGAGAGAAAGCAGCAACCACCACGTTCCTGAACAACTGCACACCCGCTGCGCATGACAACTACCACATTGCAGAACTGGGCGCCGTAAGAAACGCCCCACCGAATTAACGTCATAGACGGTCATCAACCGTGTGCACCACTGACATGTCGTCCGACAAGAAGATCCATTTTAGGGGGGCCTAAAGCCCATCACCCCCTACCTGCCAGCGCCACCCCCATTGGGCACAACTCCCAAATATCTGGGTCTCGAGGAGGGGCCTCCCCCTGAAACCGTCAACCACTGCCCTGCGCACCAGCAGATAAGCTAGCACTGGTGACGACACCCCGATGAAATGGTGAGGTCACCGCATCCCTGCTGAAGCCCCCACCCAGCTTCCGCTGAGGGGGGAATGTGGCTGCGGAAGTGTCACATTCCGCGCCCGAAGAACCTCAACCACCATGCCCTGCAGCCCTACAAGCCTACCCGGAGGCAGCCAACACCACCCAGAGTCAGAACCAACTCCCAGGCCCAGAACGGATACACTCTATTTGGCCACCCTCTCCCCTGCTGCCAGCGTCACCAATTCACTGGTGCGCAACCTGTGGGGGCAGGCAGAGGAATCCGCTGGCTCCCCACCGAAATCCACCCCCAGTGCACAACCATCTCATTCCTTACCACCATCCAAAGTTCCTAGTCCCAAAGGAACCGAGTTCCGCAAAGTACGGCAAGGAGTTAAACAGCCCGTCCGTGGACACAAGTCCACCAGGTACCCCCCTCCAAAGAGAAAGTCCAGCAAGGGATTGCTAACCGGGTGAACAGGTAGCTGGAGATATGCAACCTACACTTCCCCGTGGCCATCAAAAAAAACCAAGGCCTGGCCTACTTAACCAACTCGACCGCTTGGTCAAATGATGTGCAAGAAACCGAGCATAGCTCCATATCGATGGCATTATGCAATGACACCCCTTGGGTAAGAGAGGCGGTGCATGAGCCGAAATGCGCCCGGTGCCCCCATTCTGGGGACCACCAAGTCGATTACACCCGCACATCCGCCAGAGAGGGCACACCGAAAGCGGCCCGCCATCCTGCCCAACTGCCCATCCCCGTCCAGCCGTACCCAAACCATCACAGGGAACCCCCGTGACTCCTCCCTATCCCAGAAGGGAAGAAGAACGAAACCCGCTCTAAGTCCTCGCGCCTCAACTCCGCAACCGCCCCAACGCAGTATTGGTGCAACCCTGGCCCCGTCCCCTCCAACCTCACTGGGGTGAAGCCCGTGACAGCAGGCGCAACAACTGTCGATGCCAACTCCCCGCCTTACCTCAGTAGAAACCTATGCAGGCTGTAAGTGCCCCCTCAACCCAACCGCTTGTGCTGAAACAAACCACAGACCCCCAGACTGCGCCGACCTACCTCGAAAAGCTCTCAGCCGAGTTTTCAAAGGTGCCCTCATCCGCCGCCTCCAGCGGGGCGGGTTCGACGGAACCACGCACACCTGGAATTGCCACCTCGAAACTGCCCAGTTCACCCGACCCCGCAATTATTACCGCATTAGCAATAAGAATCCCATATTCCTACCAGAGTGCAGAGCTACGATATACACAGGCTCGGCGAGTCGCCAAGGACACACAACGCCTGTGTCCAATCACCGAACGATTGCAGTATCATCCGATACCTCCTCCGGCGGCCATATCCTCCACCACATCTTTCTTGCCCCCCCCTCCCCCGCCTCGAGGACTACAAAGCCCACCGACGGAGAATGCCGAAATGTTTAGCAAAACTCACCTCCCCCAAGTGCTCGGTCCTGTCCAACCCGGGATGTACCTCCCATCCCTACACCTGGGCTGCCCCCCACTGCGCCACCTGCACCCAACCCCGCATGTGCCTCAACACCTGCCCCTTGCGTCCAGACCACCCGTGCTCGTCCCCTCCGACCCCCTGTCCTTAAAGAGGTAAGAAATAACTACAACTTGCTCAGTACGTGTGAAAGAGTAGTGCGCTGTGGGACTCACCGGCCAAGCCCTTTTCCACGGGGCTGCTCCACACGGTCCATGGGCTCCAGGATGCTCGACATCCGCCAACCGGGGAGCCCACCTGATGCAGAAAACGACCAGTAGCGGCTCATTCTCTAATGAGAAAACCTGGGCAGGGTGCACTGCACCCAGGCTACCCTCCCGTCCTGCCCCTCGAAGCACCTGCCGCCACCAAGGCCTACCGCTGCGACCCGACAGTCCTCCTCCCGGTGGAGGGGTTTGGGGGGGGAGAGCGCCAGTGCGGTACCCACTCCCGCCCTCACGGATGACCAGCCCC